GATGCAGCACAAGATATCACAGCTCATGAGAGCCCTGAGACTCTCACTGCAGAGACCACCTCCTCCCTACTTCCCCTCAAATTATTCTTATAAAGCAGTAAAAAAATTTAACAAGTCAGCAGCTGTTAATGATAAATCATTTTGGCTTTTCCTCTTCCTTCAACAAAAGATCAAAAAGCTTACTTACCCTTCTGTTCACTTTCAAATCCTACAACTACTCCTCGTGCCCCATTCACCAGCCGTTGAGACACATCCAGGTTCTTTGCCAGCATCACCTACAGAGAAAAAGAAAAATCCCTTAGCACACTGGCTTTACAGCCTGTTCAGTCACCTGCAGCTCAGCTTCTAGCCAGGAAGCATAAGCACAGCAGGCTGATATGGCCACAGCCGTATCATCCTATTGCAGGACAGAACACCATCTCCATTTTGACCTAAACTATCTTCCCTAGGATTCCCAGCTACATCATTCTGCAGCACTGAGTGCTTCACTTGAGCTACTGCTGTCCACAGCTGTGAGCTCAGATCCAAGGAATAGATTCCCCTTCCCCACACACTTACCAGCCTATAGAGATTGTGGGAACACCTAAGGAACAGCTTCCCAAGGCAAACAGTGCTGCTGCTAAGTACAGTCCTGCATCCTTTCCTGACAGCCCTAGCTAACAGCAAGGTGCCCAGTCCTACAAATCTGGCAGTCTCTGCCATACCCTTACAGGTCAGGAGGGCTGCCATAGCTGGAGCTGAGACTGCAGGCAAGGACCATCTGTACTCTCTGCTAGCTGGAAGCTTCTAAATCTGATTGGAAATGTATGTGAAAATCAGTGGTCACCACAATACATGGACCTGCACTCAAATCAAACTAATTCTGTCTGGCTAAGATTCCAAGCAGAAAGGATACAAAGATCAGGATAGTCTTCTATTAGCCTGGTATGGTCATACTACACAGAATATGCATTTTATACATTAATCTGCTATTCTTTGATTTTTCTTACATCATTTGATTTGCTGGTGTTTCACAAATGTACATGTACACTTACCTGAGCTCCAAGCTTCAGCTCAACTCTACCACCCACAGGACACTGAGCATCAATTAACTTCACTAACATTGGGTCACTGTCCAAAGCCTCAAACGTGTGCATTTCTCCTATAAAGGAAAGAAAAATGTGACAAGAGGCTCAGTGTTTATTTCTAACAGCAATTACTCCTTCAAGATCCATTCTGCTCTGCTGGTAGGACACCTTCACACAAACCGTGTCACATCTAACAGCAAAAAGCTTGCTATTGCCTCTCTTCCCAGTATAGTCCCCAGAACATGAGAAGGCTCAGGAATCAAAGACCAGCAGTAAATAGGAACTGGGCAGTCACCATTTTGAGCATATTACCAGTTTCATTTGCTGCCAACACCAGATCTCCAAAGAGGACAAAGGAAAAATCCTAGGGCCAGACAGGGAAGCAGAAACTAAAAAGCCTGTAATTCAAGTCATGGAGCTGTGTAGAGCACAGCCTTTCTGAGATGCTAAAGACAGAAGCAGCAAGGGTATGGAGGCAATAATGACCCACTCCACCTCACAGCAAGCAATGAGCTTGTTCCCTATTACACACCAAGAAGTAACAGTCTGGATTTTTAAAGCAAAAAGCTGTGAAGTTACTCCCCAGGCAGCTCAATTTCAACATGCACAGCTTGGACTGATGCTGCTGTGCATGACACAACACGAGCTCCTCCCAACACCACAGTATCCCCATTGCATCTACTCAGAGCTCAGCCCCAAAACCAGCAGCCTCCTCCAAGGAGTTCACCTGATAGCTGTTGCAAGCGTCTCTCATTAGTTATTTCTACATCATCTTTATGGGTGCAGAGCCGCGTAGCCAGGATCCCATCACGCTCAGACCTGTTAGTAGCCGTCTGCATCAGCAGTCTGGTAACCTCCTCTGTGCACCTGGCACCCAGGAAAATGGGATTCTTATTTAAAGTGATCAGGAACAGGGCTTTTTCCCTTTAATTACCCTTTTTCTTGTTATGTCTAGAATGCTCAATAGTCCTGCTCAATTGCTTATTTTATTAATAAAAATATCAGAATTTTGTTATCTTTCTGTGTCTCGTTCCAGGGAATCTCTGATCCTACAGCATCATGCAGTTCTGATAAAGCACAAGGAAGA